AGCCATGCACTCGACGAGGTTGGGTGTCAACAATCAACTGTTTGTTAGACCCCTTGGGCTTTGTAGCTCCTATAACGGTGCAAGAAAAAAAACTTCTCCAGGAATGGTCATCTGAAAACAGCGAGTGGTATGCTCCTCTCCTTCCACAAAAGGAGGCAGAATGAAACTCATGGAGAGACTCTTTGAAGACCCTGGAAGACTTGCATATAAAGAGGTGCTACATACCGGTTTTGCTGTTTTCAACACAGACGAAAGAACTGTGTATCTTCTCAGATGCTTCCACAATAGCTATAGGAGCGGTGGCCTACCTGAGAGCTGCAAACACAGAGGGACAATATCATGTTGGATTTGTCATGGGGAAGTCAAAACTGGCTCCTCGCCCTGCTCACACCATACCAAGTCTGGAGCTCTGCGCAGCTGTGCTGGCTGTTGAGCTATACGAACTGATCAGTGATGAGATGGACATAAAGATAGACACTGTAAGGTTCTTCACTGACAGTAAGAACGTTCTTGGCTATATTCATAACTCTACAAGAAGGTTTTACCTCTTACCATCTTTATGTCTCCAACCGGGTAACTCGGATCAGGCGATCTACACACCCCAACCAGTGGCACTATGTGCCAACAGATCTGAATCCTGCTGATTATGCAACCAGGTTTATGCCAGCATGCCAACTACAACACAGCAGCTGGTTGTCAGGATCAGCTTTTCTCTACCACAACGAAGCGGCGGAGATGTCCGTCTCGGATATCTTCGCCCTGATTGAGCCTGAAGCTGATGATGAGATTCGTCCAGAAGTTACTACTCTGGCAACCAAAGCATCAGAGTTTCAGATGGGCTCCAAACACTTCGATCGATGTTCAAGCTGGAGAACACTCACTCACACTATAGCCAGGCTCATTCATGTTGCGGCATCCTTCAAAGGAAAGTCAGACAAGACTGAAAGTAAAGGTTGGAAGTGTTTTGGAGAAACACCCAGCATAAGTGAGCTTTCAAAAGCCAAAGCTGTGATCATCCGCTCTGTGCAGTATAGCTTCTTTAAGAAAGAATTCAAATGTCTTGAAGGCAAACAGACCTTGCCCAAGCAGAGCACACTCAAAAAGCTAAATCCAATTGTGGATGAAGATGGTCTGGTTCGTGTCGGATGTCGTCTTTCTTGTGCTGACCTGTCAAAAGAAGAAAGACACCCACTGATCATTCCAAGAACCCATCACATTGCTACACTACTTGTGAGACACCTTCACGAACAAGTAGCTCATTAAGGGTGACAAATTACAGAAGGAGCTGTCAGATCAGCTGGATACTGGATAATTGGAAGCAAGCATCTGGTGTCATTTTGTCATTCACAAGTGTGTTACTTGCCGCAGGCTGCAAGAGAAGTTGGAGGAACAGAAGATGGCTGATCTACCTGCTGACCAACATACGCCTGAGCCTCCATTCACTACTGTCGCCCTTGATGTCTTAGGGCCGTGGTCCATCATGACACGTTGGACTAGAGGAGAATGTGTAGACAGCAAACGCTGGGCTGTGTTGTTTACGTGCATGTCAACCAGAGCAGTGCATATTGAGCTGATTGAAACCATGTCAACAGACAGCTTTA